GTTCTGGTGTAGTTGGCTTGGGAGGAAAGATCTCCAATACACAAACAAACCTATTGTGTGCTCTGCTATGTTCTCAAGCAGGTGACATTTTAAATACACCTTTCTGTCAGGTGAACAAGAGGTGCTGAGGAGGCTTCCATGAAGGACATCTTCAAGACTTTGAAGCCAACTTCTCTTTGTATAAAATGGGCATTGTATTGTATTTCATTGTATTGTGTTTGGTTTTTTATTTTGTTTGTTTTTTGATGCCTTACCTGTTGGTTTGTGGTCTCTCAGATTTCTGTTTTGTCCCCCGTGTGATTGCACAGAAAGGAAGAACTCTTTGAGGAAAAGAAGAAAGGAGAAGGGGGAGGAGGAGGAAGAAAAAGAAAATGAGAAAACCCCCGCTCACCCTCGTGCTCCTGGGTTCCCAGATCCCAGAGAAATTCAGGTTGGGGAGGCAGGAGAAACAGGCGATGTGGCCATCTGGCCTCTTCCTTCCAGGAAACAATGTTGAAGCCAGACACACACATGCACGTGCACACACATGCACACACATGGAGACAGTGGAGTGCACAGTGGGCAAGTGGATTCCTAAAACGGCCCTATAAACAAATAGCCCCTGGCAGAGGAGTTTAAAAAGTAAAAAACAGGAGTGTGTGCGGGGAGAATCAAGCTTCCTCACACTTTCCTAACATCAGGGTCTTTTCCAGGGAGTCTTCTCTTCTCATGAAATGGCCAAAGTACTGGAGCCTCAGCTTCAGGATCCGTCCTTCCAGTGAGCACTCAGGGTTGATTTCCTTTAGAATGGATCAGTTTGTTCTCCTTGCAGTCCAGGGGACTCTCAAGAGTCTCCTCCAGCACCACAGTTCAAAAGCATCAATTCTTCGGCGGTCTGCTTTCTTTTATGGTCCAGCTCTCACTTCCGTACATCACTACAGGAAAAATCATAGCTTTGACTATTCTTACTTTTGTTGGCAAGGTGATGTCTAATGAACAATTAAAATAGGAAAAACAAAGATAGAAATCATGAGTTTTGGAGTCTGCCAAGACAAACAAAACTCAGGCAAAAAGGACTCAGGTAGCACCTCTGTGGCCCTTTACTATGAGGCCTGCAGATTTGCAAACTTAAGATGTTAAGAATTATTGTTGTATTAGAAAAATAAAGTATTCAGAAATATTCAATTTGTTGCAAAGCATAGCATCAAGAATATTTCCATAAAGCATTGCAGTTAGAATCTTAAATTCCAGCTACAAAAATAAAATAAAAAAACCCTCTAAAATAGCTTAGAAGGCAGGACAGGCATAGCCACCCCTTCTTCTATCCTTTCTCTTAACTACATCCTAGCATAACAGTAAAAACTAGCATTTGGATCTCAAAACTCCATTCTAAAATCAATACTAAAAATCAATCTCTATGACTCAATTCTCCATTTTTTTCCTTACTGGGACCACCCTCCTTCATCACTCTTCTGCGATGTTAACCAATCAGCATAAAGGGCTGTCTCTTCACACTCCATCTCCATTTCCCACGAGATGTGCAGGTGTTGTTGTCCCTCCTCTCGGTGTTGTGTCTTTGCTCCTTATCATCTCTGGCCAAGGCTGAAAATACATGGAATTTTCCATCCAGCTCGAGGACAAAAGTTTCTCGAAGCATCCAGTCATGCTACACAGAAACAATATGGATTCCGTCTACAATATTCCATGACTACAAATCCCATCCATAAATCACATTTTACCCTTAATAACCTATACCATGACATCCATTAACCCGTCTTTCCCTGGCCTCAAGCAGGAAAGGTCCCTTCCTTTCTCTTGCTCCCTGGACTTTCTTCAAAGAATGGAAACACGGAAGGAAGCAGCCATTTCCTTTATGTTCTTTAGCCCTCCCCACCCCAGGCCAGGAATCACACAGAGTTCAATGTGGAGAAGCCAGCCAGAGGTTTAGCTCCCAAGCAAACCTGCCCAGAAAGAAGAGAGGGGAACAAAAGGGAGGGGGGAGGCTTTCCTTCCAAGGCACCTCCAGACAAACCAGAAAGGGTTCATTTTCCCATCTGTTTATAGCAAGAAACGGATGTTTTTTTGGGGGGGGCAGCTTCACCGGCAGAAGCAAAGCTGAGAGGGATGAGAGTGAAGTCCCACGAAGACTCCCTCTTCCCCCCCACCAAACGCCTGTGTTTTCCCCTCTTCTCCCTTCCTCTCTCCTGCCCCATTCATTCGCCCCCCCCCCTTTTCTTCCTCTCCACCTTTTGCAAGACAACAGGCGGGGTGGGGGGAACCTAGCGCTAAGAAGGCGGTGGGGGAGCTCCTCCCTTTGGAAAATATCAGGGAATGTATTTGTTCAAAGAAGATCAGGGAGAGGGGGAAATCTTATTCCTCTGATCCATCCCCCTTTTAGTTCCTGCAGTTCATTCCCCCACTCCCGCCCCTCTGTTCGTTCATGAAAACATAGATGAAACGGGGGGGGGGGGGGGGGGGGAGGAACAGG